CCCAATTCTCCTGTTTCCCAGGTCCCCCCTCCTTCCCTTCCACTTTCTCTCCCCATATCCCTTTACCCCCATCCCACCCCATCCCCAAGATCCCATTTTCTCCCTGGAAATTTGGTCTACTTCCCTTAGCCAAGAGGACAACTATATGTTTTTCCTTGGGTTCACCTTCTTACTTACCTTCTTTAGGTTCACCTCTTGTAGACTCCGTGGTCCTTATTTATGGCTAGAAACCAATTATGAGTGAGTACATCCCATATTCATCTTTTTGGGTCTGGGACACCTCACTCAGGATAGTGTTTTCTATTTCCATCCATTTGCATGCATAATTCGAGAAGTCATTGTTTTTTACCGCAGCGTAGTACTCTAGCGTGTATATATTCCATACTTTCTTCATCCATTCTTCCATTGAAGGGCATCTAGGTTGTTTCCAGGTTCTGGCTATTACAAATAATACTGCTATGAACATAGCTGAACAAATGCTTTTGTCATTTGATAAAGCATCTCTTGGGTATATTCCCAGGAGTGGTATTGCTGGGTCCAGGGGTAAGTTGATCCCGAATTTCCTGAGAAACCGAAACACTGACTTCCACAGTGGTTGCACAAGATTGCATTCCCACCAGCAATGGATGAGGGTACCCGTTCCTCCACAGCCTCTCCAGCAAAGGTTATCCTTGGTGTTTTTGACTTTAGCCATTCTGACAGGTGTAAGATGATATCTCAAAGTTGTTTTGATTTGCATTTCCCTGATTGCTAAGGATGTTGAACACGACCTTAAGTGTCTTTTGGCCATTTGAACTTCTTCTGTTGAGAATTCTCTGTTCAGTTCAGTGCCCCATTTTTTAATTGGGTTAATTAGCATTTTAAAGTCTAGTTTCTTGAGTTCTCTATATATTTTGGAGATCAGACCTTTGTCTGTTGTGGGGTTGGTGAAAATCTTCTCCCAGTCAGTAGGTTGCCTTTTTGTCTTAGTGAACATGTCCTTTGCTTTAAAGAAGCTTCTCAGTTTTAGTAGGTCCCATTTATTCAATGTTGCCCTTAATGTCTGTGCTTCTGGGGTTATACATAGGAAGCGATCTCCTGTGCCCATCTGTTGTAGGGTATTTCCCACATTCTCTTCTATCAGGTTCAGTGTGTTCTGACTGATAGTGAGGTCACAGAGTTTAACTCCAAGGTCAATCTACCTTGCCTCCCAAGTGTTGGGATTAAAGGTGTGTACCACCGCACTCAACTACTGTGTTTCTTTCTTTCTTTTCTACTTCTAAGAACTTTAACCTTTAGCCTACATAGATTTTTTAACACATAGTAAAACATTTAGATGTTTTCTTCAAGCTTGAATCTTTCTTTTACTGTATTTGTCTCTTTTGTGACTACAAGAGTCTTTAATTTACCAAGCAATATCAGTAGGACTAAAGCCGTGGCTTTATAGGTTAGATCCAGCCCATTCCTTAGCTTTCCAGCCTCATGGCAGAGGTACTGCTGGAGCCATATGTATTGCCACAACTCTGTGGCATTTCAAGGTCCCTGCCAGCAAGCAAGCAGTAGCACTTCACTCCCAGACCACACTCAAGTGCTTTGGGCTGCCTGACTGAAAGGGTCAGAGTTTGCCCTGTCAGGTCAACCCAGAAAGGGGGCATTCTAAAATGGCGCAAGCCTTTTTCCTGTTACGGCTGAAAACCGAAAAGCATGTGTTCAGCTTTTCATCAACATCATTTACGGGTTTTGTGGCAGGACCTCTTAAAAGAGCTGCAGGGTTTTGCAGCTAAAGCTGAATCAGGAAGCCTCTCTTAGAAGAGAGCACTTGCTTGCCTCAAGCAAGCAGAGCAGACCCAAGAAATTGATGCTACCAAGAAACCTGGCGCAATGCTTTCATTTTGTTCTAGAATTACTTCCCAAGCTGTCTCAGGTTTTAAGTGGATACAGTGGTCCACACGTTGGCGCCATTCTGTTGAAGGTGCTGCGGGCTGTATTCCTGCCACCCAGCTCCTGGCTGCCTGGCTAGCTTATGCCCCAAAATAACAACACACAAACTGTATTCATATAAACACTGCTTGGCCCATTTCTATTAATGTGTGCAGCACACGAGGTTTGGCTTAACAGGAAGATTCTAGCCTAGTCTAGAATAGAGCTTTGAGAACACATGTGTTTTGGATAGTCACTGTCAATTCTGTAGAAATCTTGTGAAATCATGGCATTTCTCTCCTTCAAAAAGTTATTCACTCCAAAGGACCCAAGTAATATATGGGTACCAAATTACCTTTTCTCATTCAAACATGTCATGGGGCCTTTGATCACTAATATTCACTTTATGTTTAATAGCCAAGTCTACTTTACTTTAATACCCCAAAATTTCCTTTGCTAATTGACCATGGAGGAACTCCAAAAAGATAGGAAGACAACATGCACACCCTTACTGGCAAACAGGTCTGGGTGTCATCAAACCTAGTGTCACAATAGAGACTGGGGTGAGGGGAATGAGTGAGTCCAGGGTTTATGGTTGTCTACTGATCCTATCTAATGGTTTGGAATGTCAGATATGTCCCCTTGGATACTGGCCCTTCTTGTGTGCTTTCACTATTTCCTGTAGTGCTGCTTTGTCAAGTCCTTCCTACCGTTTTTTTTTTTTTTGTGGTTCTATAGTACATGTAGAGTTGACTGTTAATGTCGATGTGGGTTATTTAGGTTGGAAACATTTTGGTAGTTGGGAACAGCAAGCAAGGCATATCCACCAGGAACAGCAAAAAACTATAAACAGTGTGGCTAATAAAGAGGCCATAGAAAGAATAAATAGAACATGATAAAGGATGTATGTGAGTTAATTTATTAATATTTTGTGCTCTGATCCTTTGGTTAGATTTCCCATTGCTATATCAAATCTTTCTGAACACTGAATGGTTTAGCGGGGTTTACCCACCAAATAAAACTTGATAAGAGGGACCAAAGTTCTAAATTATCAGATCTGGTTCTTGATGCCTCTCTGCCACTCTGGTCATTGGTAGTGTATGTCTGGAGGCCTCAGAAAAAGATGGATTGTCTTCTCTGTGATGAAGGCAGATATTTAATTATTTTTCCTACTATCTGGGCAAGTAAAACATAAGTAGTAAATATCATGAACTAAAGTCATCTATAAATGGAGTTAAATAGCTGGGAGGTGGTGGTGCACGCCTTTAATCCCAGCACTCAGGTGGCAGAGGCAGGCGGATCTCTGTGAGTTCAAGGCCAACCTGGTCTACAAGAGCTAGTTTGAGGAAAGGTTCCAAAACCACAGAGAAACCCTGTCCCGAAAAACCAAAAAAAAAAAAAAATTGAGGTAAATAGGAGTATGAAGATCTAGAATCTTTCATAGCAAGGTTACTTTAGGTCAATCTCTTATTTGTAAATGAGGCAAAACCAGAGTATACTTATTTTTCTAACTCTTTGAGGGACTATCAATTAAGAGTCTTAGAATGTAGTATATTTATGCTAGTTAATATCTACGAATGGCTTTAATGAAGTACTTTTGCCTGGACACTTAATGCTGGCCAAATGACTGCCAATAAACATAATCACAGGCAGTTAGTTCTGTGTTTACATTGGAAAAAAGAATGAAGTTCTCATAGTGGGGAGGAAGGTTTTTTTGACAGTGTGCCTGTTTTTCATATAATTCAGGGAAATTTTGCACAAAAAGTGATCAAATGGTACTAAACTGTGGGAGGTATATCCAAAGTAAGTAACAGATGTTAGTATGCTATGGGAGAATTCTGTAGCGAGGAAACATTCAGTTCCTTACAAGACAATTATGCCAGTATGCCTTACATCGTGATTAAATCCATCACCTAACAGAATTATAGATTCTGATGGGTCGATCTTGTGAAACAATAACTGTATACTTACTGCATAATTCTGTGGCTCGTAGTAGGTTAGTGATTCTGTAATTTCCCAGCATGTGTTAATGCATGTCATGTGAATCAAGACAGACCTGATTAATGGTTATACAATTGGGGGGTTTCTCTTGAGCAAATAAATATTTAAGGAAGGGTTTTTGTTGTAGTTTTGTTTTGTTTTGTAAATAGGTACTGTGGAATACTCCTATATACAATGACAATGTGTTGATGTCATTATTAGTAACAAAGTATAGGAAGGAAAACCAAACTGAGGACTCTGGGAAGAACAAGGACAGAGTCAGAGAACTCACAAACCAAATGAAGACATATAAGGAGATGAATGTGTTAGACTAATAAATGTACAACCACATGGCTGAGCATAGATCAGAAATATGGGTTAATTTGAAATGTTAGAGTTACCTAGTAATAAGCCTAAACTCTCTGCCAAGCATTTATAATTAATATTAAGTCTCCATGTCAGTTTTTGGAAACTGTCAGAAGAGGAAATCTCCACCTACAAATGTGTACAGTCCTAATTGACAAAACTGGGTCATCCCAAGGTTTCAGACACAGGCCATTGACTGTAGCAGTGGTTTCATGTCACAGATCTAAATCAGCTCACATTACACAAGTTCACACTGCTGTGGGATGATAATGCTTGTGTTCTCTGAATATGTATTCATTTCATTGGTTAACAATATACCAGAATAAGCCTATAGTTAGGCGTAATAAGGCTAGGCAGGAGTGGGCAAAGGAGATACAGAGATCAGCAATTAGACTTTGATATGACAGCATATGTGCAAGTTAATGCAGCTGCCAAGAAGGCCTGGCATAGACTTTCATCTTCTAAAGAACAGGCTGAGGAGTTGTCTAGTATGAGACAGGGATCAGATAAATTATTTCAAAACTTTGTCTCCAGACTGACACAGACATCTAATTGGTTGATTGGAGGTACAGAAGCAGGGCAATCAATAGTTAAAGAGCAAGTATTTGAGAATCCTAATGCTGTGCATAAAGCGGCTCAAAACCTTTCAGAAAGCATGGTGTCATTGTGTACAAATGGCAACCCAATATGCCGAAATCAGCCAAAAAATGGCACCAAAATGTGGGTCAGACCAGTGAACCACAAAACACACAGAAATGTCGTCATGTGTACAGGGAGCACGTGACGGATCCCACAAGAAAACTGCACCACAGGTGGAGAGGTAAGTAATGAGTGCTCAGAAATAAGTAGTAGATATTAAAATGAAAGAGTAAAGCTGGGCATAAAATTGGGAGTAAAAACGCAAATATTTGTAAACATGGCACAAGGAAATAGTACTCAAGTGTCTGTACAGTTGCTAAGATGGATTTTGATAGCCAGAGTAGCTGAAGAGAAGTAGAGACAAAGGAAGAAATTTTTAGAGTTTTTAAATATGGTCCTTCCCCAGCACTGGCAGTGTATCCGCTGCCATCTTCAGGCAGCTCCAGAATGTGGAGAGACCAAAATATGTTTTGCCTTAACCTTTTCCACCAGCAGTGCTGTGGTCACCAAGCCACAGCCTCTCCAACTTCTGACTGAGTGAAAAGAATGAAGGGGGTATGGTGTTTGCCCTAGAATTGGCCTAGGTTACTGCTGAGATTGGGGTAGTCCAAGCATACATGCTGTGGCCAGCTGAGTCTGACCCATGCTGTGCCATGTCCAGGAGAGGCAGACTGGAAAGTTTAAAAGGCTATACCTCCCACAGTCAGCACCCACAGCCCGTCAGTGGAAATACCTATAGGCTAATTGACCCATTAGACAAGGAGCCTATAATGGATAAATCTATGGCTTTTAACAGAGGAGAGGATTCAGAATTCTTCTTATTGTGTAATTACAAAAGATAAAATAATAAAGCAAGTATAGTAAAAATCGGTATGAGTGTACCCACTTAAGCTTAAGAATGTGACAGTCTCAAAGCCTCTGTAATGCTGGACACCTGAGAACCTGCGCTAAATTTGCCACCTGGTCATAGTCTGTTATGGGACATAGTCTGTAGCTATCATGCAATCTTCTGGCAGGAGAAAAAGAAATCAGCTTAGTTGTCATTTGGTGCTTGGGTTGTTCTCATGGCTGTCAGAAGTGCCTGTGACTCCTGGTGTCAGCCTGAAGCCACAGAACAAACATCATCTTTGGTTTCTTAAAATCTGTACTCATTAGTATTCTTTGAACCCTTCCATCTTTTGAACAGGAGAATCAGTCTACTGCACATTGTGTAATGGGCTGTGCTAGCTAGCCATGTCATGTCCAGGAGGATAAAGGCAGTGTGGCTGTGGATTGCAGGAAGACAGCTGTGTCATCTATCTGATAGAGGCATAAGTGATATTGAATTTCATATCTCTGCAGATCTGTAAAAGTCTGGGTCTGGGGTGGAAGCCAGAGCCAAGGAATCCTGCGCTGTGTCTTTAAGCACACTGTAAGGCTTAGGGAGGTTCTCTTGTCAATCAATACTCACTAGCCAATCAAGACCTCCAGGCCGACCTGTCAGTCAGAAAACAGGCAGGGCACTTCCTGGGGCCATGCTGCTGGATTGATTTAAAGCTGAGCCAGTGGATTGTATTCTGTGCTGTGAGTGCTACTGCAGCGAGCTCTGAGGAGAACATGGGTGAGCCTGGAAGCCACGACATGGTGAGTAAGGGGTTGCTGTTCCAAGATGAGGAGGAGAGGATGGTGAGCCATGGGAGACAGTCTGGCATGCCCTCCTTGAGCGAGTGCAGGAACCCACGGCTACCATCAGTGTTTACTGAAGTCCCATATCGTCCTTGCAACTCCCCAGAACCAGGTCTTGGCCTCTGAATGACTTCCCTCTGTGGGCTGCATCTGCGAAAAGCATTTCCAGCAGGAAATTGTGTGTAGAAACATCTTTGAGGTCCACATCAACGTGGTTTTGGCGGGATCCCAAACTTGGAGATGCCTAGTTTTTCTATTATCTTTCAGAAGCTTTGCTCTTTGCATTTAACATTTAGGAGTAAGATCCCTTTGGAGTTAATTTTGTGGAGTTTGTAAATGGCATTCTTGTGTTCCTTCCCACTCTACCACTAACCGGTGGTGCAGAAGAGTAGAAATTTGATATAAAGGCATCACCAATGCTTAGGAGATATTAGCTGAGGAAGCCTGCCTCTAAATTACCCAAAGATAGCAAAGTAGTGTGCTAACTAGGCCTGGTAGAGATTAAGATGCTAGGATACAAAATTGTTTACAAGGATTGTTTAAACATTTCCCTTTAGACCATGACAGAGACACCACTGATTTATAAACAGCCACTACTCCTGTACCAAATCAATGAAGAAACCTCTAACGTGCTGCTCTAGGTCATTATGGGCTCATAATGAACATTAGGGTGTGGTGTGACTTAAAGTTCCAATTCTTTTTAGAGAAAATTATAGTTCTGTCAGATGTATATGCTGAGAGAAGTGACAGTCATTTGAAAAGGAAAATGCTGTTGTTGTTGAGAGCTGGCCATATCAATGATGTCTTTCCATTTAGGGTCCAACTCATGGAGAAGGAACTTAACTCCTTCTCAAAACCAGGGATACTCTTGGCAGAGCCAGGAACAGCCTAGTGAGTGTCTTGGCCTAGGGGTTTTGCCTAATGTCCTGAGTTATGGAGAATAAAATAGAACTTCTCCATTGTAACCGGGAATATGTTTGGAAGAGGTGGTAAGGATCTGGAAACAGTGCCTTTCTGGAGAGGTTTTTTAGATCCTGAGAAACCAAGTCTTCCCACCACAGTGAGCTATGATCCCAAGGCCAATTTGAGCATAGTCCATAATACTCTTGAGATCACCTTTGTTTTCCTTGTGTTGCATTTTTTGTTTTGAGACCGGGTTTTTCTGTGGCTTTGGAGTCAGTCCTGGAACTAGCTCTTTTTTCTTTTTTTTGGTTTTTCGAGACAGGGTTTCTCTGTGGCTTTGGAGCCTGTCCTGGAACTAGCTCTGTAGACCAGGCTAGTCTCGAACTCACAGAGATCCGCCTGCCTCTGCCTCCCGAGTGCTGGGATTAAAGGCGTGCGCCACCATCTCCCGGCTTGGAACTAGCTCTTGGAGACCATTCTGGCCTCGAAATTCCTGAGAGCCACCCGCCTCTGCCTCTGAAGTCCTGGGATTAAAGGAGTCCTGGTATTAAAGGCGTGGGCCTCTGCCACCACCACCACCCTGCCCTTGTGTTACATTGCTTGATTAACCTTATTCTGAGTTTGTCTCATTGTGTGGTAATTTCTGCTGATTTTTTAGAAGTCTCCTATTTCCTCCCATTTCCCCTTACAAATGGTATACAAGAAGCTATTCATCTTCAGAAGTTTACTTGGAATAAGACATAGCTTATACAAGACTTCTATGTCTCAGTTTTTATCATACCTTTGTTCCAGTTTTCCTGTCTTTCTCACCTTCTGGCACTGCACGTAGGGCCCTGTCAGTAAAGTATGACCTGCTGCTTCAGGTCACTTACATACTTTAGACATAATCATGATAATATCTTTGCTGTGTAAGTTTCCCCATTCCCTAACTGGCAAGACATGCAGTTTCCAATCTCTATTTAATTTCTTCAAAGTGTAAGCTAGAGTCTCAACCTAAAAGAAACTCAAGGATGACAGTGTATGTGGAATGCATTGTTGATTCTAGATTCTCTCCTCTTTGAGTATTTGCCAGAGATGTATGCATGCTATCATTGTACAGATTTTTCTTTATTAATCTCTTAAGTGTGTACAGTGTTTTCTCACTGGAAAGGGATATTCTAGAATAGCTGCCCTTCCTGCATTGTAGAATAATATTGGTGAGATAAGGTCTCTTATGTTTTTATATGAAACCTCGATTTCATTCTGTAGCATTCCAGGTCAATGACCTTGCTGTCTTGATTTAAAATTCTTTTATTTATTTTTTTTTTGAGATGAGGTTTCTCTGTAGCTTTGGTGCCTGTTTCAGAACTGTCTTTTGTAGATCAGGCTGGCCTCAAAATCCAAGAGATCTGCCTGCCTCTGTGTCCCAAGTGCTGGGATTAAAGGCGTCTGCCACCACCACCTGGTAATGATTCAATTTATTTTTTGAGACAGTGTTTCTCTGTGGCTTTGGAGCCTGTCCTGGAACTAGCTCTGTAGACCAGGCTAGTCTCAAACTCACAGAGATCCGCCTGCCTTTGCCTCCTGAGTGCTTGGATTAAAGGCGTGTGCCACCATCGCCAGGCATGATTCAAAATTCTTAAATGACTATGTGGCCTCAGATTTTTAAAATTACCCACTTGAGTCATGAATTCAACTATTCATTATACTCACAGGAGAAGGATCTGCGTGTGGAACATGGTTTCTGCCTTCAGACCAGAGTAGAAAGAATAGTTTGCTGAGTGCACTGCAGAGGAAATGGGAGAAAATCAGCTGCTGGGGTCACCTTTATTGAGAGGATAAAACTCAGACACTGCAAGCTCATAATTGCTCTCTCAGGCTCTCTAGACCCTTATCATCCCTGCCTAGTTGATTCTGTAAATTGTGGTCTTTTCCATGTCCTTGACACATCTGGCTTCTAAAAAACCCTCACCCAAATTTCTTCTGGCTTCCACATGCTTTAGCTAGTATTTTAGTAAAGTTTTTTACATCTGCCATAATCAATTTTCAGAGAAAGGCCATCTTTTGACAGTTAGTCTGGGAAACAATCTATGATCTTATTAGAGTAAAGCTAGGAATCATTATATTGATTATTGTTTTCTTTTTGTTACTTGTATTTTGTTCTACTCTAAATTCTGAACCATTGAACTTCTCATTCCTTGCCATCCAGGCAGTGTTGTTTATGGGTTGCTTCTTTTCCCTTTGGCCTCAAGTTAGTACCATCATTGGGTTGCCACTACACCAATTTAAGCCACCAATTTCCTGGTATATCTTCAGGACAACACACTGGGTGTCAGATATTTTGTGGCTGGGTTTCTTTTTTATTCCTGCCACATGGAGCCATATGTCATCGGAGAAGATGACAGGTTCAGGCTCCATATTCTTAGTTACTGGGAGTCCTCACTATGGTTGCCCTCTTAGCTAGCAAAAAGTTTCTACTATATTAGGTTTCCACATCAACTTTAAACATTTCCTATTCCAGTCATCTCTCCCTATATATTCTCCCTCCATCCATCCATTATCCCATGATTGTTGCTCTTGCAATTTTCTGTTCATTCATAAAGTCTAGTCTATTTTCGTCTTTCAGGTGGGCTCCATGCATCCCACGCTACAGCCATTCTTGTAATTTACCCTTTCTGAGTCTATGGATTGTACTCAGATTATTTTTACACAACTGTTAATATCCACAAATATATGAGTACATATAATGTTTGTCTTTGTGGTTCTGGTTTTACTTGCTCAGAATAAAAAAAAAAAACCTGAGGAAACTATATGTTAAAATAAAAAATAAAAAAAAATCTAAATAGAATTCTAAATAGATGAATTTAAAACTGGCTGAAAAGCAGATAAATAAATGTTCAACAACCTTAGCTATCAAGGAAATATAAATCAAAAGTACTTTAAGGATTAATCTTATACCTGTCAGATTGGCTAGGATCAATAACACAAGTGACATTTCATACTGGCTAAAATACAGACAAAAAGGAACACTCCCCCATTGTTGCTGAGATTGTAAACCTGTATAGCCACTATGGAAATCAATATGGCAATTCCTCAGATAATTGGAAATCTATCTACCTCAAGACTCAGCTATAACACTGTGGTAGTTTGAATATAATTGGCCCCCATAATCTCTTATGGAGTGGAAGTAGTGGGAGGTGTGGCTGTTCTGGAGTTGGCATGGTCTTGTTGGAGGAAGTATGTCACTGTGGGTTTTTGAGTTCTCTTATCCTCAGGATAATTCCCAGTGATTCAGACTATGTCCTGTTTCCTCTTAGTCAAGAACAAAGGACTCTCAGTTCCAGTATCACATCTGGCTGCCAGCTTACAGGCTTCAAGCCATGATGATAATTAACTCAACCTCTGAAATTATATGTGAGCCCCCTCAATTAAATACTTTTGTTATAAGAGTTTCTCTGGTCACGGTGTCTCTTTCCAAAAAAAAAAAAAAAACTAAAACAGAAGTTGGTCCCAGGGACTAGAGTATTGCTGTGCTAGTCCTAACCATGCTTTTGTTTCAAATCATAAGGTCTTTGATTCTTTGGCTTACAAAAAGGAAAAATGCATTTGTCACTGCATACAGGGTCATACTAGGAGGAGCATGGGAGAGAGTGACCTTGATAATGAAATGAAATATCAGGAGCCAGCTCAAGAGGTTTCAGAGAGGAATTTTAATATGTTTCCTACATGTCGGGGAGTGGTGGCACATGCCTTTAATCCCAGCACTTGGGAGGCAGAGGCAGGCGGATCTCTGTGAGTTCGAGACCAGCCTGGTCTACAACAGCTAGTTCCAGGAGAGGCTCTAAAACAACAGAGAAACCCTGTCTCAAAAAACCAAAAAAGAAAAATATGTTTCTTACAAATGATTCTTGTGATGTTTTGGTGAAGGAAGTGCCTTGGTTCAAACAGTCTGCCTGATGCTAAAGTAAGGAGATTTTGATTAATTCCCTGGGAAGAAGAATCCTCAACACAGCGTGAGATAGATTTTGTCAAGTGGATGTTGGTGATAACTCTACTGAAGATACTTAATAAAAGGGATTCGTGGCTGAGGGGGTGGTGGCACATTGACTTTAATCCTAGTACTCTGAACACAGAGGCCGGCACACCTCTGTTAGTTCAAGGACAGCTTAGTTTACACATCAAGTTTCAGAACATCCAAGCTTATACAGCCAAAATCAGAAAGCTGGTAAAGATAGAATTAAACAAGGTGTCATGTTCCAACCCCAGTAAGCAGCAGAACCTGACAGCTGGGGCATCGTGGTTCTGGCTTAAGAGTTAAGGATAAAGCCGGGCGGTGGTGGCGCACGCCTTTAATCCCAGCACTCGGGAGGCAGAGGTAGGCGGATCTCTGTGAGTTCGAGACCAGCCTGGTCTACAAGAGCTAGTTCCAGGACAGGCTCCAAAATCACAGAGAAACCCTGTCTCGAAAAAAAACCAAAAAAAAAAAAAGAGTTAAGGATAAAAGAAAGGCATTATATTCTGTTTCTTCTTATCTGAGGCTGAAGAATCAGCTGTGCTGAGCAAGTTATTAGAAGTATTTAAGCAAAATATGGTTCTGCTGGATACTTAATGCTGGACAGCTAGAGCTAAAAATTTAGTGATGATTACGAGACCAGCATCACTGATGTGAAAATGTCTGGGAAGTGTTTTCTAAGAGCACAGAGCAACTGTCTTCCAGGGGTAGCCACAGTTGTACCTCAACAGGTAGGTGGAGTTTCTAATGTGTTTCACCAGGTGGTAATATTTTGAAGGTATTGATGGATGTAAGGCTTGGCACTGTGAGAGGTCAGAAAAGGACATCACTGAAGGTGCAGTGTCATTCGCAGTTGAATGCCCAGGACTGTAAGGGTCTGGCCAATAGGTGCGGCACCCTAAGGAGATTCTATGAAAAATACTGGTGAAGGTGAAACTTATTTACAACAGAAGACTCCAGTGTCTGGAGAGGCCAGCACTGTGAGATGACCACCAAAACAGCAGTAGCAGTGGAATTGAGCCAGCCAGAGTCTAGAAGACCAGATTTGTGTACTGCAGAGGGCAGAATCAGTGTATTGACCCAAAGCCTATGGAAGGGTCCTAATGATCTTGAGTGGGCCTTAATATTGGAAGGTTGGAATTCTTTAATTATCCAAGATTTAGCGATCCCAGGGTCATAGGTTACCTGCCAAGGAGAGCTACTAATGTGCAATGGAACCCGCCAAAGAAAAAGAAGTGTGATTTTCTTGACAAAGCTGAACAGGATTAGAAACCTGGAGAGCTATTGGACATGGAATTAGTTATCATTACATTGACTTTTTTCTTTATTGTTACTTGTATTTGTTTCTACTGTAATTCTTTGAGCCATTTAACTTCTGGATCCTGCCCATCTAGGCGCTCTTCCTAGGCATGTTGGGCCTCAATTTGGGCCAGTCATTGGTTAGCCACTACACAAACCTTGAGCCACCATTTTCCTGATCTATCTTCCAACACCACATGTGTGTGTCAAATATTATGTGGATGGCTTGGTTTTATAGTCCCACTACTGGGAACCATATGTGATTACAGAAGATGGCCAGTACAGGCTCCATATTTCTGAGTTATAGGGAGTCCTCACTATAATGACCCTCAAAGATTGCAGAAAGTTGTTACTGCACTGTTTGACCATCATCCATTGAAAGATTTCCTATTCTAGTAATTTCTTGCTGTGTTTTCCCCCTACATACCTACATTTACTCTTATGATCCTCCCTATTCTTGATCTGTGTACTCCCACAAAATCTAGTCTATTTAATAGAATCTTTGGGATCCATGCACCCCCTGCTACAGCCATCTTTGTCACTTACCTTATCTGGGTCTGTGGATTGTACAGTAATTAGTCTTGATTCAACAGCTAATATCCACTTACAGTGAGTACACATCATGTTTGTCTATGTAGTTTGGATTTACTTGTTCAGAAGCAAAAGACCTCAAGCAACACATCTAGAAATAAATTAATTGAATAAAAATGTGGTACAGATTTAAACAAGGAGTTCTAAGTAAATGAATCTAAACTGTCTTAGAAACACTTAACTACATGTTCAATATACTTAGCATCAATCAAATGTACATCAAAAGAGCTTTTAGAATTCACCTTATACCTGTCAGAATAGATAGGTTCAAGAACATAATGGAAAACGCATGCTGGCAAGGATGTTGAATAAGTAGAACGTTGATTGGCTAGGATCAATAACACAAGTGACATCTCATACTGGCAAAAAATGGACAAAAAGAAACACTCCCCCATTGTTGCTGAGAATGTAAATCCGTATAGCCACTCTTGTAACCAATATGGCAGTACCTCAGATAATTGGGAATCTATCTATTTTAAGACTCAGATAAACCACGCTGGTAGTTTGAATGCAGTGAGACCCAAAAATCTCCTAGGGAGTGAGTGGCACTATTAGTTGTGGCTTTATTGGGCTGGGTTATGGCCAAGTCAGGTCAATATCATGATTGTTATAAGAGACTTTACATTGAAACACTTCAGGAACTGTTCCAGCCTATGACAGTCATTGAAGTTAGAGTAAATACGTGTTATCATGGGATGACTATGAATATTTATGCATCAGGGTCAGAATGTAGTTGATCGAAGGAAAAGGTCCCAGATTAGAAGAAGTGGTTGAACATTTGTCATTCCGGGGTACTCTTCTTTGTTGTAACATTGACTAGGAGAAATCTTTTGGATGAAATTCCTATATTGGGGATTGGATTTACATGTTCATAGCCTGAACCTATTTCTGGTTATGTGTGTCCTGATGTTATGACTTCACCGCCATTATAGATGGTGTCACTCAATGACAAAACATGCAGTTGAAGCAATTCCTGTTCACCCTTAAGCCTTTTACTATCCTGATTTCTATTTTAATTTTTGGTTTTTACTTTTGATTTTGAAAGACAATGTTTTTTCTGTGTAGCTCTTGGTCCTCAGTGTAGCTCCTTAGACCATGGTGTTCTCAACTCAGAAATACAAATGATCCTGGCTATTGCACAGAGGGATTAATGGCGGAGCAACATGCTTGTTATTTTTCTGTCTTCTTTTACTGTCTGATGAGCCTGGAATATACGTTTTTGTACATTTCAAGAATAAGTTTCGTGCCGGGCGGTGGTGGCGCACGCCTTTAATCCCACCACTCGGGAGGCAGAGGCAGGCGGATCTCTGTGAGTTCGAGGCCAGCCTGGTCTACAAGAGGTAGTTTCAGGACAGGAACCAAAAGCTACGGAGAAACCCTGTCTCGAAAAATCAAAAAAAAAAAAAAAAGAATAAGTTTTGATGCTGGGCTTATTGAAATGTGAAGTTTGGTGGAGGGTATCATTTCCTTTCCCAGGAGAGTAGTATGCATGACATCAGTACCTCTGCCATTTGCATCCTTGCACTGCAGGGGCATGACTTTCTACGTGCCTCTATTTTTTTTGTTGTTGTTTTGAATGCTTTCAATGAATATGAGGTTGTATCTGTATACAAGGGTATGTACCACAGGCATGCCTGTTTCTCACGGTTGTCACAAGAGGCGTCAGAACCTATGAAGTTGAAGTAATGGATAATTACAAGTCCCTATTAGTACTGGTAATTGTGCCCACTTATCTGCAAGGACAGCAAGACCGCTTCATTGCTGACCCATCTCCCTTACTCTGTGTTGTTTATGATCATCATTTGCAGGGCTGAAGTTTTCTTTGGTCCATTTGTAAGTGTTAAACATGCACTCCCTTTTAAGATCTTATTATGAAACAGTTTAACCTGGGCCACTGCAAGTTCTGGAAGATGAATGTAGAACTAAAGTAAATACAAAACTTTTTATAAGAACTTCATTTAAAACCTCTGATTTCCTTTTACACTTTTTTTTTGGGGGGGGGGGTTCGAGACAGGGTTTCTCTCTGGGTTTGGAACTTGTCCTGGAACCAGCTCTGTAGACAAGGCTGGCCTCGAACTCACAGAGATCCGCCTGCCTCTGCCTCCCGAGTGCTGGGATTAAAGGTGTGCGCCACTATCGCCCGGCTTCCTTTTACGTTTTTTATTTAAATGATTATGGATGGATACTGGGTTTTATCAATTTGTAAATCTGGCTTACCTGCAAGCCATTGCATAGGCTTTGACCGACATCAAATTCAATTTATTTCATCTGCTTTTTTCATTGATCACTGGGATTAAAGTCACAAGTGAATATACCCAATTTTGCCATCCTTTTTCTAGATAATCATTGGTATTATTATTTCTGTAATGTTTTCTCAGTAGTGTTGATCTGCTTGCTGTTTGTCTCTGTATGTTTGTTTATTGGTATTTCTTTCTCAAGGCTGTATCCTTTTTAAAGGGTCAACGAATGGTACATATGAGCCTCTTCTTCAGTTTCCTTCTACAGTGACTTTTCTTTATATTCTAATGCAGTGGCATGGAAGAAGTGTGGGAAGCAGCAGCAATATACAAATATATCATTGTAAAAGAAGTATCCTGTGTCAGGATCACACTTTGATTTATTGTTGATTGGATTCTTCTAGAACTCAGTGACCTATGAGGATGTTCACATTGACTTCACTGAGGAGGAGTGGGTTTTGCTGAATCCTTCCCAAAAGAGTCTCTACAAAGATGTGATGCTGGAGACATACAGGAACCTCACCGCTACTGGTAAGATTGTGAACTTTCCTTTAAATTTAAAATAAGGGGACTACCCTGTATTATTTATTGATACTTTTTTATATTTTTGTTGGAGAAAGAGTAAGAATGAGCCAAATAACTAAGGCATAGTTCACTTAAGGTATTCAATTTTGTACAATATCCTTTAATATATTGTCTACTTTCTGTTCCTTTATTTTAGGCTACAGTTGGGAAGACCATAATTTTGAAGAGTATTGTCAATGTGCTAGAAAACATGGAAGGTAATTTTTATTTGCAACTTGGTGTATATTTGTCTCTGAAGAAATTTTAATTTGTCCTGGAAGATTTAAAGAAAAAAATAGTACAAATAATCATGCCATAACGTATATGGTTTATTATTAATTTCTCAATAATCATATGCCTCAATATGAGGTAAATGGTGTGTGCATTCCTCTAAACAGAAGAGAAGGAAACAATGTCTTAACTGATGCTACCATGAGAATTATACTGTAGAGCTGCTAATCCATTTAGTTTCATACCACTCAGATAACACATAGACACATTGAATATATAATAAGGATATGTTTAAAACTGTGCCAAAAATACTCTGTAGTAAAGCGCATGTTACTCATGTACTTATGACTTTGCCAAACTTGTTGAAAGAGTTGAGTCATGAGAGTAAAAAAGGCTCTTGTGGAGAAACATTAATTCCTATACCGCATGTCTGTGAGGAGCAGAAAGTCATACTGTGTGAATTCAATGTACAACCATTTATTTCTTCTTCCTTTATTAAGAATGTCATATGTCACAAGTCAGCTACCAAAATGGAAAGAGAGACTGTATCTCTTTCAGAATAATTAGAATCTAGGAAAGATATTTAGTATTTCAACACTGGGTAGATTTGTGGAATTGCTATATGATTATATTTAATTGGTTTTCAAACTTCCTTGGGAAGACATCAGCAAACTCACACTGAAGATAAGCCCTATGAGTGTTGGACTGTGTACTTACTTTTGTTTGTAGTTGTACACTTTCTTGTGGTAGGTACTGCACTACAGGAAAACATAAGAATGAAAAAGGAATGTAAGGTTATTTAAGACTGAGTTAGTCTCATTCCATTCATATATGCAAAAAAATCTTAAATAAAATGATACTATAAATGGGGGTCATTTATAAAAAAACCCTTACCATCAAAGGTTCTTCAAAGAGACAAAACATCTCATACTGAAGGAGAGCACCACGAATGTAAAACTTAAAATCTGATTCCTTTTTACAATAAAACAAATTTATAAAATTAATTTATACAGATATTAAAATGCATCAGTGTTATGTACATGGTAAATCGTTTACATGTCTCTACTATTTTCACAGGAATGAAAGAAACCATAATGTAGAGAAACCCTCTGAATATACCCAAGATGATAAAGCCTTTGCATGTTATAATCATCTTCAAAGCTATGAAAAAATTCATTCTACAGAGAAGTCGTATGATGTTATTCAATATGATGAAGGCTTTGCAGCTACCACTTGTCTCCAAATACTTAGAAGAACACATGCTAGAGAGAAACCCCACACATGTAATCAATGTGGTAAAGCCTTTTCACAGAACAATCATCTTCGAGTACATCAAAGGACACATACTGGAGAGAAACCTTATCAATGTCATCAATGTGATAAAGCTTTTTCAAAACAATCTAACCTCCAAATACATGAAAGAACACATACTAAAGAGAAACCCCATGAATGTAATGAATGCGGTAAAGTCTTTGCACGTCAATATAATCTCCAACTTCACAAAAGAAGACATACTGGAGAAAATACCTCCACGTGTAATCAATGTGGTAAAGTCTTTTTACAACTCAGTAGTCTCCGAGTACATCAGAGGACACATACTGGAGAGAAACCCTATACATGTAATCAATGTGGTAAAGCCTTTTTACAGAACTGTCATCTTCAAGTACATCAAAGGACACATACTGGAGAGAAACCCTATACATGTAATCAATGTGGTAAAGCCTTTTCACAGAACAGTAATTTTCGAATACATCAAAGGACACATACTGGAGAGAAACCTTATAAATGTAATCAATGTGATAAAGCTTTTGTGAGTCATGGTGAGCTTCACAGACACAAAAGAACACATACTGGAGAGAAACCCTATGAATGTAATCAATGTGGTAAAGCCTTTTCATATATCAATAGTCTCCAAGTTCACAAAAGAACACATACTGGAGAAAAGCCATATGAATGTGATCAATGTGATAAAGCCTTTTCACAATTCAGTAGTCTACAAACACATAAAAGAATACATACTGGAGAGAAGCCTCATAAATGTAATCAATGTGATAAAGCCTTTTCACATTGCAGTAGTCTAAAATCACATAAAAGAACACATACTGGAGAGAAACCTTATAAATGTAATCAATGTAGTAAGGCCTTTGCATGTCGTAAAAGTGTACGCATCCATAAAGGAACACATGCTGAATAGAAACCCTACAATTTTAGCAAATGTGGTAGAGCCTTTGTATGTGGCAACAGGCTTTAAATCTTGAGAAAAAATCATACTGCAAAGAAACCTTTTTTTTTAATTTTTGAGACAGTGTTTCTCTGTAACATTGGAATCTGTTGTGGAACTCACGTATAGAAGAGGCTGGCCTTACACTCACAGAGATTTGTCTGTCTCCCAAGTGCTGAATTACAGGGGTGTGCCTCCACAGTTTAGCCTGTCAAACGCTTTAAGTGCAATCAGTGTGGTAAAGTTTTCTTCTTCTTGGTAGTCTTTATACAAGAGTAAACGTTTGGTGGAAAAGAGGTCTATTAAGGCCTTTGCATATCACAGTACTCTGAGGTACTCAGAAGATTCCTACTAAAGGGACTGTAACTGTAAATGTTTTTGAAATATCTTCATCCAATACACATTTACTTACATAAGACTAAGAAGAAAACAAGTCTACAAGTATCATAACTGTTCAAGCATTATAAAGTCTCTATTTTGTTCACACCTGCAAAATTATATGGACAGAAGTCCTATGAATTCACTGATAAGGTAACTATTTTTGATTTTGCACTTTTCTTCAATTATATAAATACAGCTATCTCTAGAAATTAGCTGACTTTGGGAAGTAACCAGGCTACCTTAATGATAAACAATTATATTTTTACTTATTATAAGAGAAAACTCATGCCACAGGAATGGAAAGTCCAAGTTCCACTGTGTCCTATGGGAATCACCCAGATAGCAAGCACCTGGTCTACCCCAGTTTTTTCTCCTGGGCTCCAGGAAGCCATGCCTTAACTAGATTCCACTTCTTTAAGATGATTGGTTAACAAAGCTTCCCCTATCACTTATCCAGATGTAAAATTTGGTAGATGGGTATGAGTGCCTCTTCTGTGTCTGTGATGAATCATAATGTCTAAGTCACTTAATAAAAGCGTTTAATGTGACTCTGGGTTCCAGACGGTTACATGATTACTTTGAGAGTGTTGTCACAAGAAGTCTCAGACATGACACCTACACCGGGAAGTGAAGGACTCATATACTTAGCCTGTATCATGAACTAGGTATAGGATCTTGAAATGGTGTGTGAATGTATACTCTCAGTAAAAAACACATGACATTTCTTCCAGTATGACAATATGTTCTAAATTTTCCCAAATGATGCCATTAATTGAAAATGATTAATTTCTGTAACTTCAAATCTACATTCTTGTTTTTTATTGCATGAACCAAATCATCATTGAGAAAAACTGTGGAAATAAGCCTTTAATACCTCAACACCTGGGTTACAGGAATGCATGCTTAGAGGAGGAGAATATTCATGAGCGAAGAATTGTTTAAAGATTTTATTTAATTTTAATCATGTTATTTTAGTGTGCCTTGGTTTGGGAAAATAAATATTCATGCTTGCTCCCAGGAAGGTTAGACCATTGGGTATTCCTGTTGCAGGCAGGACTACAGAAACTTCTGAAAAACCTAACATTCATCCTGACGATGAACTTGTCCTAAATTATTGTCTATGTCTTTGCCCTGTATATATGTTAAAGACATTATTTTTTATCATCTTAACATCAGATAATAGGGAAGAACTCATGAAAGAGAAAAACCTTTGTGTTAATAATATGGTAAAGACTTTAGACATCATTTAGAGGTCTTTATTGTCCAGAAATTCTTTATATATTTTTCATCATGAAGGTTTGTCATTTACTCTCTTCACTCACGTCTGATGGTGGACATTTCTCCATTACAATTTCTGGTTAGTGAGAGATATTAAAGTGTTCTATACATTTATCAAATCCTTTCAATGAAGTTTATTTTGTGCTCTTTGTTTTCTCTCTGTGATTTTTGTACATCTCCCACTGTGCTTTCACTAAGTGATAGGTATTTTTCTGCTTAAATATATAGAATGAGATGTCCATAATCTAAGTGAAACATTTATTTAATGTTCGACAGTGTATATTCATTCCTTTTAAGTAATGCTGTCTGCGAAAAGGTGATGAAATTTTTTCCTGCATTTGTTTTTCATTTTTTCACAAATTCCCATGAGATGCCATTTGCTATCCAGTCTAGCTTGTATGTCATTAATTAGTTATTAATAGATCTGAACTCATAATCATCATGGGCCAGTCTCTTGAATATAAGTACAAGGGTACATGTTAGACCCCAACATTTGCTGTTTCGTCTACATATCTTATCAAAATGAGGGCTGATGAGACGCAAAGGACAATGGCACGGGGGTTTGATCCTACGTAATGTGATGGCTTTGTGGGACCCCAGCCAGTTTGGATGTTCACCTTCCTAGATATGGACGGAGGTGGGAGGTCCTAGGTCTTACCTCAGGGCAGTAAACCCTTTGGACTGGAGAGGGAGGGGGAAAGGAGTGGGGGGAGGGGGAGAAGGGTGGGAGGAGGGGGTGTAGGGTGGGAGGAGGGGGAGGGAAATGGGAGGCTGGGAGGAGGTGGAAACTTGTTTTTTTTCTCCTTTTCTCAATAAAAAAATGCATAATAGGATAGATTATAACAAACATTACCTCATATGTGTATCCACAGCATCATTTTCATCAAACTGGTAGAGATATGAAATATTAGATAATCAGTAATCTATTGAATATTTTAAAGTATAGCTTGATATCCTGTGGATATGTATACATTATGTGAAGCTCAATGCATCTTCCTGTCCCCATTAGTTATCCATTTTTCACTTCATCATGTAGTGCTTCCTTCTAAGGGAATTATCCGGAGATGCCAGGTAATGAAACTTCAATGAGATTTATTTGAAAAAAGTTTCTGTTATATGTAAGTGTGATATAATTATGGAATTTTAGCCCTGACACATGTGAAGACCATAAGACAAGTTTTTGGGGTGCCTCTTGGCTTTTTTCATATGGTAATCAAGATTAGGTCACCAGGCTTGCACACCGCACACATTTCCCACTAAGGCAGTACCCTGATTAATTGAAACATTCTATCAGAAAATTATTGCCATTATTAAGATTGTAAACATGATTTCATTGAAGAAAAGAGGAATGACAACAACTTAAATAATAAAGCATATGTTCAAGGAAACTGATAAACCGCTATCTCTTCTTTTGTTTTTCCCTTTTTTGTAGAATGTGTTATCCTTAGGACTCAACACTTGTTTTCACATTTTCTCAGAACCTCATTGAATACCATAATATTTCTCAGTACAGGAAGGTTTTTGCTGCTGTTTGATGACTTGAGTTTGTCATTGATTATACTGAGTATAAAGTGGAGGTAAAAGTGGAGGCCATCAGAGGGTATCTGATCCCCTTTCACTGGAGTTAAAGAGAATTGTGAGCTGTTTTGTGGATTCTGGAAAACAAAGTCAGGCCCTGTGGATGAGCAACCAGTGTTCTCATCTGCTGAGCCATCTACTCGGCCTAGTGAACATGTCATTATAGCAGTAAGGTGTGAATGGGTGATCCTAAGTTCTTCTTTGCCTCATCTCTTATGACCCAAAAGAAATACAATATGGGAAGCATCAGAAACCAGCTTAGAAATATGCACAAAGATGTCTTTGAGCCCAAATCTCCATAAAACAATAGAAGAGTACAAAAATTTTTTCAGGAGAGAAACTGAAAATATAAGTGTTTAAAAAGTGACAGACTCTTAATGAAATCACAAACCTGAGTTTAGCCCAAAGTTGGTAAATAGTCAGCAATCGGATACCCCAAGTATACAGGGCAGGTGGAGCCCTGCTTTAGTTTATGCCTCCTTTATGGAGATAAAGGGAATTTACAGGCATGAAGAATGAGTTTTCTGAATTTGATCATAGTCTGCTTCCCTGATGACTGTAAAACTTTCAATTAGGAGACTTGAATGGTGGTGACTTCAAATGATGCACAGATTTTCAAAAAATTCTGATACTTAAAAAGAAGTCACTGTAAGGCTTGGGCAATCAGGCATTTATAGAGAGAGAGCTGTGGAGTATTGAATTGTTAGGGAGAAACCATTGCCCATTAAAACCCAATCAAATAGGCAGAGTCAATGCTTGGGTTGTACCTGAGCACAGACTCCCTCCTACTGTGCTCTCTGTATCCACTCAACTGTGGTGAAAGGCATTTAGATTATATAAAGATTTGGATATTAAGAATAGTGCTGCTATGAACATAGTTGATCATGTATCCTTGTGGTATGATTGAGAATACATTAGGTATGTACCCAATAGTGATAATGCTGGATCTTGAGAGTAGATTGATTCCCAATTTTCTGATAAACCACCATATTAATTTCAAGTTGACTGCACAATTATGCACTTCCACCAGCAATAGAGGAATGTCCCACTTACTCCACATCTTCTCCAACAAAAGCTGTCCTCCGTGTTTTTGGTCTTATTTACTCAAACAGGTGTACGATGGTATCTCTATTGACTAAGTATGTTGAGCAATTTCTCAAAGTCTTTGCCAATTAAGAGTCTTCACTTGGGAACTCTCTGTCATTATCCTTTCCTATCTATTTTTAATTGGATTATTAGGTATTTTATGGCTAGATTTTTGAGTTATATATTGGATTTTTAGTTTTTAAATTTTTCTTAATTTAAATTTTGATAATCAAATATATATATATATAATATTTAGTGTGTGCATGAATTTCTGGTTGTTCCAAACCTCACTTGGTAGTTTAGACTGTCCTAGGACATAAGTGAGGTCTTCACACATTGTCTCCAGAGTGTATGCATAATACATGCGCACAGCACATCAGGATAACATGTTTTTTTAATTGGCTTAATGAGAATGAGTGTCTGAGCCTGGTTAGTTTAGGAAGCCAGAGCATAGACTCTGGTCCTAATTCAAGTCACAAAATGGCTCCCATCAAACACAATACTTCTTCCATAACGTCTACTCTTTTCAACTATTTAAACGAAAGTTTTTCTTTATCATTGAG